TGTCTATGATGGAAAGCACCAGGCATAGGTCCAAGAATACCAAATACCAGTCAGCTCAGTTTTCCTTAAGTTTTGCCCAGACCAAAAGAATTTAGTATCACAAGAATACCATAAAAGCAAAAAAGCAGGCCTGGATTTTCTCATGGCAGCCTAGATCTCATTTTATGCCTAGAGGTGCATCATTTCATTCAACGCTTACAAATTCCAGAAACCCAATGAGAAGCCTGTAAGCAACAAAATAAATTCACGGCTATGTAGATTATATATTTCCTCTCAGGTTGCCACATCCCCAAATTGCAAATTGACTATCATGAGGGAAATACAATATTAACTGAATTAAAACATTATGCTGCTTAATGGAGGGGAAGCTCTTAAATTTCTAATTCAAATATTCTGCATATCTTCTCTTTCAGTGATTCAATTAACAGATGAGCAATACATTATCCCTACATAGAAATCAAAATTAGTTATGTCACTGGAACTATAGCGTTATCTCTACAATTATTAACACATTTAATCACATTATCTTTTGTCATCCATTTTTCCGTTTCCTGTTCAGGCTTTTTTTTTTTTTTAAAAAGTCCAATTTTAGAAGCTATTTTTTAAATGGGTAGGACTCATCTCATTCAGCTTACCAGAACTTCTGAATTGAACTGAATATTTTAATCTCTTGCATATTATCTTCAGACTTGATTATGAAATGGAAACAATGTTTATCACTTTGGTAGATTACTTCTACTTGAAAAAGAATAGGGTGAATGCAATTAGTTAGTCTTTTAGAATCTGACTAGTTCATCTGGCTTCAGTCATGTCTGGGAAGATATATTAAGCCAGACATGCTGGAGAACTTATTTATTCATTTAATTCAGTATGGGCACTACCCAACTCCTAACCAACTCTGGTCAGCTCACAATATAATAAACAATAAAAATATAATACATACCAAAACAAGTGGGATTTGATCACTCTATTTATTTATTAGCTAGAGTTATAAGGCTGCACAATTCAAATAATATGACTCTGGATGGCAGAGTCCCATTGTTCTCTACAAAAAAATAAAGAAAAACACATCCAACAAGGAGCTCCATTCATCTTAATTCAAGATCTAGGAGAACAAGCAGGTCTTCAGGGCCTTACGGAACACCAACAGTGTGGGAGCTATGTGGACTTTGGAGGGATCCCATTCCAGAGGGCAGTCGCCACAACATAATTCCTGGCCCAATAGATGGCACAGTTTAATTGAAGGAACCCAGAGTGCTCCAACTCTGCTGACATGTGCAGGCCAGCAGAAACCATAGGAGATAGGTAGTCCTTCAGATAACCTAGTTCTATGCCATGTACAGTAGGTAAATAAGTAAGTCAATAAATAAATAAATACTGTTTAACATCTGCATTTAAGTACTGGGAAAACATATATGTAGAGTTGGGCTAAAAGGGCAGTCAATGTGCAGATAATACACACATCCTGTTCCCATGTACTAAGCCTAGGGAAGCAGTAAAAGTCTTCAACAGGCATCTGGATGCATTTTTGGGGTTGGATAAGATAAAAAAAGCTTTATCAACAGGACGTTTCTGTTACTATATATAGTTTAAATGGCTGTGTGTAAAGAAGAGATGTGATTGTGAAGAGATGGCTCACTTGTCAAATTAAGCTAATAAAAAGGTAGATGCATGTGGCTAAAAATAAGAAAAAATACAAAAAAACAGAATAATTAAACAAACTATATACCTGTATTAAAAGTGCACAGATTATGAAAGGTTTCACAAGTAAAAACAGCTGCTCAAATTATATTCACAAGCAAGCTGCCTTCTGTTTTGTTATTTTAAATACTGACGTCATTCTTTGGTTTTTTTCAATCATCATTTTGTGCATCACCTTGGGGAAATATTTACTTTTGGGAAGGTGACTTAAGAGACACCATCAAATGAAGTGTACAGAACAGGTCTTATTTGTTTTGTCCAGACCTCAGATTCCCACTGCCTGCCAGCCATTCGTCTTGAAATAAAACTGGCCCTGCAATCTTCTGCATAAAAGCAGTGTTGTGCAAACTTGGCCATTTTAAGATGAGTGGACTTCAACTCTCAGAATTCCCCAGCCGCGCTGGCTGGGGAATTCTGA